TGGTGATAGAGTGAGACTATGTTTCAAAAAAAAAAAAAAAAAAAAAAAAAAATTTAAAAAAAAAAAAAAAAAAAAAAAAAACATGTTCCCATCATTTAGTATATACCAACAGCAGGTGCTAACAGCTGTTGAAAAATAAATGAACAGTTTAATGATCCTACATGGGCCATAGAAAAGCCAAGATCTAGAAAGTGCTGTGCCTTCCACTTGCCCCTTTTATTGCTGCAAAATTGCCAGAAAACTTGCAAATTTATGACTAGTCTTTATTTTCAGATAACCACAAAGTTGGATGGGGGAACCAAAAACACCATCAGCTGTTCTCAGTGGCCTCTTCCATGTCTAGGAAACTATACAGAGCACCCAAGGCCACCAGCGCAAACAGATTTGGGCTCAAATCCAACTTCTACCATCTGCTGGGTATGTAATCTTGAAGAAATAATTTAGCCTACCTGATACTCAGTTGCTCACGTGAACAACAAAGAAAACAGCACGTACATGACAACGCTGATCAAAGCAATGCTTAGGCAACACTTACAACAATGCATAGAAAACACCAGCCTGGGTAACAAGAGCGAAACTCCGTCTCAAAAAAAAAACACCAGCTCATTGGATATCGGTCCCTTTCACTTCAAGTCATTACCCATGAAGGAAGTAGTAGGAATTAAGTCCAGATGTTATTCTGTTCACAGTATCAGAAAAAGGAGACACCTCCTGTGTTAAATGACTAGCACTAAAAGAGATCTGGACAGTGAGACCCGTGTGGCTACAGAGCCAATGTGTGCTATGGAAGCTGACACCAGCAGCTCCTAACATGGGCCCAGGCCCTCTGGCATGGGTGTACAAGCCATCTGTTAGATCATGGTCATGCCAACAGGATCACCGCATTGGACTTTATTCTGTGGCCAGAAAGAATTCATCTGAGTCCATTCTAGTGGGGTTTTCCCTATTGTAACTGGTAGTTCGGGACAAATGGCAGATTGAGAGAGCTTGGTAAAAGCCCTAGGAACAGCAGCAAGTCGATAAACAACTTGGATCAACTCCTAGATTCCATTCATAGTTGGCGTTTTCCCTGATGAGCTGATAGGCCCCAGGAAGACCCACTGGAATCTCTAGCCCTTTCATGAAAACAGGCAGGCCCACTTTTGGCCTCGAAGGCAACCTACACAAGTGGAGGAAGAGATGGTATCCACACAGAGACTTCCGGCAGGTCAGGAGATGGAATCTAGTGAGCACATTAGAACCTCAAGTCAATAACAGAATCATCAGCTTCCTCTACTGAAGAAAGATACTACTTCAAAAAGAGCCTCTTGAGTATATCTTTTTAATGGGCATTAATAAAATCCCATAAGGCACAAGAAGGAATGTAATTCAGTAGAATTCCCTATTTGCCCAAACATCAAAGAAGTGAAAAGCCCATGGAATCCGGATCCCATAGGATCCTGTAGGGTCCTCAACTCCACAGGATGCCGAAGTACTGAATAGCCTTAACCTACAGCTTGGCACTGCACTGGGATTCCCCCTCACTGCCCCTCAGAGTGGATGTGGAATCAGACAGGATGTTCGAATGCCTACATCATTAAGGGCATCCAGTCCAGAGTCCCCACACTCACTGCAGCTGAGGTCCTGGCTGCACTGGTAGTAGCCAGTGCATAATACACACTTTCTCTAAACTCAATTTTTCTTTCTTTCTTTTTTAATAGAGACAGGGTCCTGCTAGGTTTCCCAGGGTAGTCTGGAATTCCTGGGCTCAAGTAATCTTCCTGCCTCGGCCTCCCAAAGTGCTGGGATTACAGGCATAAGCCACTGTACCCGGCCTCAATTTTTCTGTTCAATCATTGGCAAGAAACATCCTGCCAAGTTTTTCTGATCTGTACTCCTTCCATTCCATTCTGTTAAAGACTGATTTGAGAGCCTCTTTGGAGACCTAACCAAACCCAAGCATCTAAGAGATAAGGTACCCAAAGACTGCTGGAAAGAAACACACTATTAGGTTAGATTATAAGAATGGCTAATATTCAGCCCTTTTTTAGATATAAAAATGGCAATTTTATACCATTCAACCTAACTCCTACCAAGCAGCTTTCTGAAATGTTTAGAATTGCTAACTATATGGTCTCAGAACCAGTTATAAGCAAATACTTCAGCTAGGGTGACATCAAGGCACCAAGCCCATGGGGTTCTGATCATTAAAAAGACCAGCCGGGCACAGTGGCTCACACTTGTAATTCCAGCACTTTGGGAGGCCGAGGTGGGCAGATCACCTGAGGTCAGGAGTTGGAGACCAGCCTGGACAAAATGGCAAAACCCCGTCTCTACTAAAAATATAAAAATTTTCTGGGCATGGTGGCAGACACCTGTAGTCCCAGCTACTCAAGAAGTTTAAGCAGGAGAATTGCTTGAACCTAGGAGGTAGAGGTTGCAGTGAGACAGTGAGCCAAGATCGTGCCACTGCACTCCAGCCACGGTAACAGAGCAAGACTCCATTTCAAAACAAAAAACAAACGAACAGACAAAAAAGACCAATATTTTGAGCCATAAAAGTCATCTCAATAGATTTCAAAAGACTGAAATGTTACACAGTCTCTGACCACAATGGAACTAAGTTAGAAATGAACAATAACATATCTTTAGAAGGTCCTACTAACTTACTTCTAAACAACCTATGGGTCAAAAACCACCAAAAAAAGGAGAAATTATTTTGAACTGAATGAAAATGAAAATATAGCATATCAAAATTTGTGAGATGCAGTTAAAGTAGTTCTTAGAGGTGAATCCTTACCTTTAATGGCTACGTGAGGAAGAAAGATGTAAAATCAGTGATCTAAATTTCTACTTTAGGAAGCTAGAAAAGGAAGAACAAATTAAAGCCAAACTAAGTAGAGGGAAAGAAATAATAAAGAAGAAAAACCAGCAAGATAGAAACAGACAAGAAACGGGAGAACAGGGCAAAAGCCAGTGTATTGTAAAGATAGATAAAAATCAATAAAAGTTTGGCTATACTGATTAAGAAGACACAAATTATTAATATCAGCAATTAAAGAGCGGACATCACCTCAAAGCCTACAGACATTAAAAGGCTAAAAGGGGAATTGTACAAACAACTTCATAGACTTGACAGCTTAGATCACTGGGCAGCAAACTCCCTGTAGACCAAAGCTAGGTTGCTACCTGTTTTGATACTTCTAGTGGAACATAGCCAGGCCCATCTGTCTGCATGTTGTCTCTGAGTGCTTTTGCACTATAACCACAGGGTAGAATAGTTGCCACTGAGATTGTATGGTCCACAAAGTCTAAAATATTTACTATCTAACCCTTTATAGAAAAGTTAGCTGACTTTTAGATTAGATGAAATAGACAATTCTTTGAAACACACAAATGCCAAAACTGATTCAAAAAGAAATAACAAATCTGGATACCTCTCTATTAAAAGTATTGGATTTGTAGTTAAAAACATTCCACAAATGACTCCAGAGGTGGCTCTTTTGGTGAATTCTATGAAATAGTTAAGAAAGCACTAATACCAATCCTACACAAACTCTTTCAGAAAACAGAAGAGAAAGGAACATTTCCCAATTCATTCTATGAGGCCAGTATTACGCTCATACCAAAGTCAGAAAAAGACATTCCAAGAAAAGATAACCGCGGAGATAAGAAACAGGCCTCTAAAATTCTGCACAGAGCTGACCTATCACATTCTGATGGAAAGTAAAAAAAAAAAAAAAACCAAAGGGAAAAAAAAAAAAAAAAAAAACCAGGTATGTGCCAATATCTGCAGAGATGGAGATAAGATGGCTTGGAAGCAACACATCATTAAACCTGAGTTCCTGGTTTCCCTCAGAATACATGGTAATAGAAACATCTTCAAATCCTATTGCAGAGGGAATACCCCACCCCTGGCCACAGCTTCTAAGGCTTCTGCTCCCTCAACAGTTACTGCAATAAAACACAGCACAAGACATGTGGCCCCTTGGCCTTACCTCCATTCTGACTTGGAACACAGAATAAAACTATGGCTATGTCTTTAACATCTGCCATGGCAACACGGCACTAATAGCACAGGAAAGGCCCCAAGTCTCAAACACACAGGTTTTTATAAAATTCAACCCAGTGGTAACAACTTTCACCCATTGTTTCCAAGCTCACGAGTGCCCAGGACAGTCACAGTCATGCAAATCTGTTGGGGGCCGTTGAGGGTGTCAGTTCTTCTGGGAAGGAACTGGCTCATGTGGTGACTGACTGTGTGACAGCAGGATGCTTTGGGTTCTGAGAGTGGACCTGGTTTCTTCAACACTGAGCAGCTGCTGAGTACTAATGAAATGGAAGCCCCGACCTCCCTTGGCAGCCTCCAAAACTAGAGAGAGATCCCTTTAGAGAACAGCTCACAGTACACGGTCATCTTACCTGAGGGGCAGGAGAGTCACCCAATTCTCTAGGTTCCACCATGTTCCTCCTCCTTCCATGTACTGCCTAATAAAGCCTAAAGCCCAAGAGAGGATTCCACAAAGAGACAGGAGGCTTGACATGGCTGAAGTCTCCTGAGTCATACCACCCAGGATGAATGAAACCACTGTGTGGATTTCCCAAGAGATCATCCCAGACAAGCAGTGTTAACTGCAGAGGTCTCTGAGGGAAGCCCACTTCAAAACTGACATGCATGAGACAGGAGGCTGGTATACATTGCTACCTGAAATTTTGTTTGTTTATTTTTTACCTTCCCCACCAGAATGTGAGCTCAAGGGCAGAGACCTTTCCTTCCTTAGTCATCACCAACCATAACCCAGTGCCTGGGCACAAAGTAAGCCCTTGATAAATCCTTGCTACAGGAGTGGCTACTGGGTGCCCATCTGATTTCAGTGCTGAATACTGATGACCTAACAGTATGCGATTATAACCTTTATGAAGCTATCTTGCCCAAGGAAGGTTCAGTGTTTCCGGGTAACCTAGCAGAGAGATAGCTTTTAAAGTCACAATGGCTTTTAGCAGGAGACAAGTCAACTCACAGCTGGCATAGGAGCGGCTGTCATCCTCACACATTTTGTGCAGCTGCTGGTACTCCTCCTGGGCCAGCTCAAACCGTTGCTGCTTGATCTGGTAGATTTCTTTCTTGGCATTGAGAGCCTCCTGGGCTACAATTAAATATTCCTTCAACATGCGCTCTTGCTCTCGCCTCCACTGTTCTCTTGGATCTTCAATCTGGGTAAGCTCTGAAATTTAAAAAGGCAAAAACATAACTGGCTTAAAAGTAAAATCCTTAGGTTGACCAACAGTCATGCAGTGATACAGCTCATCAATGTGAAAATTAATTAATTACCAGGATGCATATTATAGAAGATTTTATATCACGAACCTTTCCAAAGAGTGGAACATTTTCTATTTATAGATCCACAGTGACGTTGAGAAGGAAACTCTACAGATATGAAACAGTCCATTGCAGGAGGGAAGACAATATGAGATAACGTTTTCACCAACAAATAACTATTTTACTTTAAATAAGTATGGGAGGAGATGAACCCACGTGAGCTCAGAACTGTCACACTAATTGCTATTTATGACCTTTTCCTCATTGACTCCTTCTGCGTGAGATGATGGAAACTCTACTGTGCCCCTGGCCTGGCTGGCCCCCTTCTCCTTTCATTTCTCAGACCAGACCATGCAGTCTCTTCCCATTTCTCACTGACTTCCTTACCTCCTCCCACCATAGCTTCCCTCACGTCTACTCGTGCTTCTTCCCTATCCAGCTCTCCAAGGGCCTGTGCCTACCTCCAGCTCCAGCCCCTCTTCCCAGTTCCAACCTTTCCTTCCTGCCTGCCTTCTGGATGCACCTCGACAGAGATGGACCCAAAGTCATTCCCAGCCATTCATCCAAAGCAGCCCTGATTCTCCACACCACCTTTCCCCATTAAGAGCAAAACAAAACCAAACACCACACAGCACATGCCTGCTTCTCCTGTCTTCCACTCATGGGGAGCTGCATCATCTGGATCTAACCGCGGGAACAGCCTGGGAGTACAACCTGAGACTCATCCTCAAAGAATCCCACTCCTCTTCCTCCTGAAACATTCAGTGGGTTATGAAGAACTGGAGGTTCTTGCCCCTGGATATGTTAATGACTGGCAACACGCCCTTGTCTCTGTCTGTCCTTACTTCAGACAGACTCTCAGGGCCTTCTGGTCTCATCCCACCAAAATCCATCCTCAGTGCACTCTCCAAAGTGACCTTCCTAACTAGGCTGCAATGCTTTCATGCAAAAACCTCTTTGAAAGCACAAACTCCAATCTCCTTAGCCTGATCTAGGAGTCCCGAAACTCGCTCATCCACTTCATCTCTACTTTCCGTCCTTTTCCCCAAAAACATCCTCTACACAGACTGAAGTTCTGCAAAGTCCCCAAAGATGCCTGGCTGGCTCCCCAGTGCCTTTGCCATGCTGATTCAGTCCTCTTCTGTCACAGGAAGGCCTGCTGTCTTCCCAGACACGTTGCAAAGGCACCTCTTCTCTGAAGCCTTCTCTGATCCTCTAGGCACACGTGTCTCTCCCCTGCTTATGCGGGCTGCCCTTCTTCCCCCTCACACTGGGCACTGAGTGTTCTTATATCTTTTCCGTTTCCCACCTAAACTACAGCCTCTAGATGGCAGGGACACAGCCTTGGTCACCTTTATATTCTCAGGGCCTTTCACTCGGTGCGTAAAACAGAGTGGTTTGCATAAACCATATACAAAAGAATACAATTCCATAAAAAAGAATAAAGTTCTGATACTCGCTATGACATGGGAAAACCTCAACAACAGCTAAGTGAAAGACGCCAGACACAAAAGGCCACATAGCAGCTGATTCCATGTCTGTGGAGTTGCCTGTTCTGGGTATTTCATAGAGACAGAAAGCAGACTGGGGGTCACTAAGGGCTGGGGGAAGGGGAATAGGGAATGACTGCTTAATGGAGATGAAGTTTCCCTTTGGGGTGAGGAAAATGTTCCGGAATAAGATAGAGGTAATGGCTGTGCAACACTGTAAATGCACCAAATGCTACCAAACTGCTCACTTTAACAATGGTTCCTTTTAGATTCTGTGAATTCTACCTCAAAATGGTTAAAACGGTAAATTTTACATTATGTCTATTTACACACACACACACACACACACACACACACACACACACACACGAAGGTGTGCTTGCTAGAATTTTTCCATGTAAGTTCTCCTTTGGAAATACCCTATCTGCTTTCCTGTCAATATCCTTTGCTTACCCCTTCACACACCATCCCAGGGCCCCTCCTAGAAAGCCTCTCCAGGGCTTAAAAGCTCACAGGAGAAAATTTACAAACCAAAACAAATCCAAAATCAGAGTCCTGCTCTTGTACCAGAGATGAGATTCGGTAGGCCTGCGGTATCCATACCACCTAGCCCCAGGAAGGACAAAGCCTGTTAACGAAGTCATGGGCATCTGCCCAGGTCTACAGCATGGTGGCCCTGTGAAGAGAGCAGCTCTCACGTGTCAGGAGCTGCCCCTTAAGACTACCAGCTGGGAAGCATAGCTCAAACGCCACATTTACCAAAACACACACAGCCGTGAAGTGCCAGGCTGACAGAGGGCCACTGGGGCCTTTCAGCTTCTCTTCTGCCAGGCACTTGCCCTGTCCAGCAAGCAGCAGGGCCACCTAGAAGTCCTTCTGCCACCTGGGCCTGCCTGGGAGGGTAGCGGGGCCATAACGGTATGTATCCCCTGTCTCCAATCACCACTGCCCAGTCTCTGCATAAGAGCTGCAATTGTGCCCAAAAATGGGTGCCAGGCACCAAAACCCCACTGCCCCAAGATCTGAGATGGGGGACTCAGATATTGGGCACCAGCAACTGACAATGCAGGAATCAGCCCTGAAGACACCAACCTGGGTCGATTGCATAGTGGGGACATGAGAAGCCATGGGACTGGCCTAGAAAACAGCTTCAAAATCACTCAGGTGGGGGCACCATGCACCTTCAGACCCCACAGCTGTCCTGCACTTCACTAACCTAAGGACAGAAAGTAAGTCAAGGGGAAGCCACGCTTCATATCCTGGTAGCAAAATGACAATGACAGAGCCACTGAAGGAAGCCAGAATGAAGAGAGAGGGTGAAAAATGGATTCCCAGCTGGGACCCCATCGAAGAAAGCTGACAAAGAGACAGCTAAGATGGAGGGGCAGAGAACAGATCTAGAACAGGTTCCTACACCCCAGCACCACTGACATTTAAGGTCGCCTCATTCTCTGTTGGGCCTCGGGGGACTGTCCTGTGCGTTGTAGGGTGTTTAGCAGCATCCTTGGTCTCTACCCATTGAATACCAGCAACACCTCTCCCAGGCACAGCCATTGAAAATGCCTCCAGACAATGCTAAGTGTCTGGGGTGGGGGAGGCAAAATCACCCAGGATGAGAACCACTGCTCTACATAGTTCTACAAAGGAGGCTGGCATGGTCAAAGACCCGCCGTTTTTGCTATGGTCTCTATACCATTTCCTCCCTTCACACACACACACACACACACACACACCCCCCAAAAAGGTTTGGTGCATGAAAGCTAAAGTTAAATGTATAAGACAAGATGAAGTGAAGGTAAACACTTGGGCACTTATTATTCCAGTAACTTGTCAGATCCACTCTGCAATAAATAACTTTTTCATTATGAGAGGTATTTCTATATCCAGGTTGCCTGGGAAATTTATTCCTTGTATTAGTTATTAAAACCCTCCATTAAACATATTATATGCAGTCCCCAGCAAGACACAAGCAAGGTATAGCTACAGAACTGCTTCACTTTGTGAAGAACTGAGCTAATGAAAACTTTGGATTATATTTATAAAACCCAATTTAATGCTACATTGGATGGTAACGATTGTTTCACTCTACAGAAAGTTTTTGGCATCTCTGATAGAATGCCACAGATTTTGCACACTACTTACTATTTATGTGGTCCATGTAGTAAACTCCAATTTGTTTATCATACACAGTTTCCCATCCTAAAGGCAGTTCATCCCCAACACAATCGGCAAAGGTCAATGGCTTTGTTATCCTGCAAAATAAAATTATGCAAACAAATTTGAAAGTCAGGTCAGTTTTGTATAATTTTGCTTTATCTAATCTAATTGACTGCTTTTGCTCCAAATATTTGGTTGGAAAATTCACCAGCTTTGTATAAATAATCAATAACTGTATTAGTATACTGGCAATCAGTATCTCAAAGCACAACTTTAAATATGAGCAAAAAGAGATACTTGGTTACTAACAAAACAGGTAAAGCAAGCATCTTCTTTCAAGCAGCATGTTTAATGAGGTGACGACAATGGAATGTAGCTCTTCCAGAAAAATCAGAGAGCACCTATGCTCTGTTCTCATTCCCTGAGAAATGTTCCCCTCACAACTTTCAGTGTCCATACATTACACATGAACACTGGCTTCAATCTATATAAAATGCATTTGCAATATTTTCATCTACCAGTGGTCATGAGTTAATAAACATCAAGCATTGGCCAAACGCAAAGAGCCAAGCAAGGTAACAATACAATGAGACCCCCACTAAATACTTCCTGTATTTCTTATACAGTAGGAATCAGAAATTTCAGAGTCCTTTTTTGTTTTTCTAGAGAAAAACAACAAAAGCACTTTGTCTACAGGCATGTCTCCTTGAAGAAAATCTGATTAAGGAAATTTGGGCTTGACGAGAGATAAAGTGAAGGGTTTTCAGATGGATCTTTAAAAGTAGAGCTTCCCCCTCCCTGATCGCCCATGATCACGCTGATTGACAAGACAGTGTTAGGACCACAGCTGTCATATAAAATGAGACACACCTATAATTGTCTGAGTCTGGGCAGCTATCTCTTGGGCTGTCTCTATAAATGCACACTGACTGCTATGCATGGGAATCTGATCACCTACATTTCACTAAGTCAATCCTCCCACCTTTTCTGTCCCTGGACCTGAGAAACTGACACAACCACAGCCAAGCCCCATGAGACCAGTATGAATTTTGGACACGTGATTTCCTTCAACTGGTTTGACAACAAGCCTGTCTTTCCGCAGGAGCATTTAAAAACTGATAAACACCATCAGAACACTTGTTTTAATCTTCATTTTAAACACATGGTTTTAAGAAGTTAGAGTCAATATAAAAACAAGAAATATATAGAAGGTAAAATATGCCATATATATCCTCCCAAACATGATGCACTCAAAAACTCGCATCACAAGATGAGCTGACTGTATGTAGTCTGTCCCATCCCAGGAACTGATGTCTGCAGCACAATGCCTTCACCAGTCAGGAATGGTGTGCTGTACCGAGGGTCCTTGTCAGGCAGATAACAGAAGGCTGCTGTGCATGATTCGTGTCCTGAATGGGACCCAACCACAGCAAAAACAACCCTACTTTAACACAGAGTTCTGAGCAAATTGCTGCTATTCTAACGTAATGATATTTACAAAGAAGCCTCCAGAGAAAAATGCCCGTGCACAGGTACATTTTAAGCACATTTACATATATGATCTCATTTAATCAACAAATACTGGCCAGGTGCAGTGGCTCACATCTGTAATCCCAGTACTTTGGGAGTCCAAGATGGGAGGACTTCTTGAGCCTGGGAGTTCAAGACCAGCCTGGGCAACACAGTGAGCCCCATGTCTACCAAAATTTTTTTAAAAATTAGCTAGGCTCACACCTGTAGTCCCAGGTACTAGGGAGGCTGAGGTGGGAGGATTACTTGAACCCAGAAGTTCGAGGCTGCAGTGAGCCACGATTCACTGCACTCTAGCCTAGGTGACAAGACAAGGCCCTATTTCAAAAAAAAAAAAGACCAAGTAAACAAATACAGGTGAGAAACCCATCATTATGGCACTGTGGAGCCAAATTCTAGCATGATTTTCAATAACAGCATTTAGAACGTCTAGATGTATTTTCCTAATTATCATTCCAAAACATTTATGGGCCAGGGATTTCATGTTTTTCTCTTGTACAGCACATCCCATCTATCATAAATACTCTAAACTTTACCAATATCAAATGATATTTTTCTCCCAAGAAAGCTCTTGGCAGGTAACATTACTTCAGTCTTGAATAAATCACTTCAGAGGAGTTATTCAGTTCTAGAGTCTGTTTAATCACATCTTTTTTTCTTTTCTTTTCTTTCTTTTTTTTTTTAAAGGCTGGTCAAGTGAAGCAGTGGGAGAGGAGAAGAAACAAAAAAATCTGTAATTGGTTGTGATCAATTGGTTGTAAACACCACTGCACTCAGACAAGCCAACGGAGAGCCAAATAAATCTTGGTTCCTCTTTCATCGTCAAATGAGAAATATCTGGAGGTATGCAACACTGGTGTTCTTTTGGTGGTAACTTTTCAGCAAGGAGTGTTTTCTGGCTCTTGCTGGCTAAAAAGCATGGTTCCTGCATGTCAGGATGAGGCCAGGGCCACCCAGGAGAGATCTCGGCCTCATCTGGGGACAATCAGCAACCTCAGTGAGGTGGTCGGCTTCAACCCAGACAATCCCATGATCCCTTATCCTGCCAATGATCATCCTCCCGCTTGAGTGGAGCCACTGATATCCAAAGACTGTTCCCCAAGCACAGTGGCTCTCCATGCAGAAACGCACAGCACTGGGCTGGGCAGGGTGGCTCACACCTATAATCCCAGCACTTTGGGAGGCCGAGGCGGGCAGATCACCTGAGGTCAGGAGTTCAAGACTAGCCTGGCCAACATGGCAAAAGCCAGTTTCTACTAAAAATACAAAAATTAGCTGGGCGTGGTGGTGTGCACCTGCAGTACCAGTTACTTGAGAGGTCGAGACTTAAGAATCGCTTGAACCCAGGAGACAGAGGTTGCAGTGAGCTGAGGTTGTGCCACTGCACTCCCGCCTGGGCGACAGTGCGAGACTCCATCCCCCTAAAAAAGAAATAAATTCACAGCATTGAGTTTGCCAGGGCAAACCACTTGGGCTGGTGTGAAAAGTCCTCCCCAAGCCAAGCCTATACAAAGCTTCTGGCTCTTTCTGCTTCAACTCCCTACCCTGCCCCTCACACACACACATACACACAATCTCTTTTCCAGGCAAATGAGTTTGTTCACCCACCTTCCAAAACATCACACTCATTCCAGTTTAAGCAATCTGTTCTCAGTCTTTCCTGGGCCTGTGGAGAGGCTTTCTCCTCCCCTCTCGTACTCCAATCCAATCAGCCCTGCAAAGGCCAGCTTAACCCTACACAAATTATCACTGCCAAACCCCCACCGTCTCCACTGCCTGGGAGCCACATCCATTCTCAGTCACTGGGCACAAAACACC